CAGCTGCTCACCTCCGCAGTTTCCTGATCTTCTCTTCATATTTACCATAATACGGATTTTCCTCCAGCTCCGGTTCTTTCTTCATCGAAAACGCCCTGAAATGAGATTGCACGAGTCCTGGAATCAGCGGTCGGATGCCAGTGGCCCTGACCGCCAACATCCCACGGTACAAACATGACATTTGTACCAAGGCCGCCGCCATCTTTTCCCCGTCCCACATCTATGAGTGTCCGGACGGAACCAAGTTTAATATAGGCACAAAATATATTGGTTCCTACACTAAAAATGTAGGCTCTCAGAAATGTCACTCAGAAATGAAATGCCATTGCCTTAGAGATGATATAGAAAATATAAAACCTGGCATAAATAATTAGATCGATAGATAAACAGATGACATAAATTCTCTCTCTCTCTCTATATATAAAAGAGTATATACACTAAATATACATTAAAAAAAAACTTATCACAGGTTTAATGTTAGTCTCTTTTGATGAAAACAGTTTCCTACTTCACCATAGTCCATTTTTAAAATCATGTATACAGTGCACAAATAAACAACTCAGTAAATGTAACCTTTTTTTTGTTATCACTTTTATTTGATATTTATAAATTGTATTTATTTGAATAACCCAAGAAAGCATGTCATTGTGAGCTGAAATATAATTATTCAGCACTTCGAAGACTACAATGTATTTCGAATCACTAAGAAACAAGACCATTATAAATTAAATATCTGTTTTAACTGATTTGTGCAGGTGCTGAACAAACATATCTGTGTTCGGATCCATCAATGCAACTTTTAGGAATCCATATCTTCTGGCTCTGAGCTAAAACACAGCTGGCATCAGAGCTAGTGTGCGCCTCGTGATCCTTCCTGAGTTTGGAGAACGTCAGTGGTTTTCCATCTGTCCAGGACCACTGCTTTGGACCGCCAGAAAGTCCTGCACAAATCACACCAATATTCTTACACACGGGACAGTTTACATTCAGTGTTCTGGTGATTCCAAAAATGTACAGGATCTTATTTGCTTACCGATCCAGAATGATTGCTTTCCAGCAAACTTCCACATCCACTTCATATCAGTCTTTGAGTGGATACTGGCCAGTTCACTTTCAAGCCTAAATTTTGGAGTAATAACATTAATATTTAGAAGGTATCTAGTCTCAATGCATGCATATACATGTTCCTCTGACAGCAAAGATGTGTAACGTACAGCATGCAAGCATGTTGTGCGCTGCTCCAGCTAGCACTACCAGGCCCCAAAATATAGCAGTTCCTCCGGTAGTGAGTCCAGCCATTAGGACAACCAATACTAACAGACTTCTGAGACTTTAAAAAGAGAGGAAAGAATTATAAAATGAAAGCTCATTACATTATAAACAAACATTTGAGAAAGTATAAAGGAAGTTTAGATGTTCTCTTTTTGATACACAAGAGCTAATTCACAGTGTGGGGCTAAGAAATTATACCTTGTGTTGTTGCACTCCTGAATCAATTACAAAAGAGGCTGAGTCATGCTGGGGAGTTTCTACTGATTCAGCAGAATATCCAGGCCAGGTCCAGATGGGAGTGATCTCCAGTTCAGAGTGGACACGAGGTGCTGGTGCCTTCTCCTCCACTCTCACTGGGATCAGTCCATGAAACTAATGGATGACAGAGTGACGACACACACAGCAGATGTATAATAATGGAAAAATAACTAACTAACTAAATAAATGAATAAATAAACAAAGTATTAATAATAATAATAATAATAATTCTGAATAAATAGGCCTATCACTGAAACCAATAAATAAATGAATAATAACTAATAAATAAATACTAAAAAATAAATAAGAAACACATAAATAATTAAACTAAATAAATAACACTAATAAATAAATAAAATAATTAATTAATAGTAGTAAAAATAATACAACCAAATAAAGATAATACCACTAAATAAATAAAAATATACAACCAATAAACAAATAAACAAAATTAATACTAAATAAAAAACACTACTAAATAAATATTTCTAATACTAATGTTTATCTTTTACTAATAAACAAATAATACGACTAAATAAATAGATAAATATAATACCCCTACTATTAAAGAAATAGGACTACAATCAACCAACAAACAAATACTACTACTACATAAATATTACTAATAAATGAATAATATTGCAATCAATAAATACTAAGGAATAAATAAACAAAAAACGAATAAATACAAATAAATAAATACAACAAATATTACTAATAAACTAAATGCTACAACAAACAAATTAATACAAATAAATAAATAACACTAACACTAAATAAATAACACTAACAAATAAAAAAAA